GTTTTACAGCCCAGGAGCCACACTGTGTTGTATGGTACTGTACTTGACAGACAGACAGACAGTGAATACAGAGCAGTACCAGTAGAACATACTACTACAATTAAGGCAGAAACGTGGAACAGAACCTAAACACACACACACTAGAGGACAAGCAACGAACGCAGTGACTTCAGACAGTCAGGAGATAAAATCCTGCATCACCTGCCGCACGCCAGCGGCTGCGCTGTTTCGGTGTGTGATGTTTGCTTTAGATCACAGAGTCGGTTAAACTAGAACAGATCTGAGCGTGTGCAAGATACTGATCGTTCAAATGGACCGAGGTGACTTCTCTCCTCGGCTGAGACGCAGCTGCTGCTGTCTGGAAGAAGAATCACTTACTGACTTGTTTAGTAGAAAATCACGACTGTAAACAGCGCGAGGCCGCGTGCGGGCGTGCGTGCGCAAACACAGCCACACACGCAGGCACGCGCGCAAACACGTCTGTCGTATGTTCACATCTCAACAACAGCGCTGTGTTTTTCATTAGGGTTCGTGTCGTGTTTACACTCATCTTCTCCGGCTTATGTGTGTGTGTGTGTATGCGGGTGTGCGTGATTATGTGTGTATATGTGCGCGTGTGAGTGTGTGTGAGAGATACGTGGAATGTTGGAGATGTCTTCCCATCAAAACAAACTTTCAATCTGTTTCTTATTGCCGGCCTATTTGCCCTATGAGACTCAAAGCAAGGGGTCCATATGGCATGCGGTGTGTGTGTGTGTGTGTGTGTCAACCTCAAGCCAAAATGGAGTACAAGTGTTTTTCTCGCTCTATTCCCTCAGCTGCTTTCTCCCCTGACACTGAAAATGGCTTTTTTTAATGGAAAAAATGACTCAAACCATATGAGTCTGATCACAGCAGTAATGTCGGAAACTAATTATTTGATGGAGACTGAATGTGATCTATTTGAAGAGCCGGTTGTGTTTTTCCATGTTAAAATAATGGCCTGTTTTATAGTCTGAGTCAACGTGTGGGTCAAACTACGCCAACATCGGGTATAGTGTGAAGAAATCAAGCGAAGTCAATTCTGATACCAGTATCGTGTCGTCACCGTCGGGGGTTTTTTAGTCTTTAGCCGTTTAGTCTTAACGTCTCTTTGTAGAACTCAAACTACTACCACTCAACTTCAACTCACAATATTCAAACTGTTGACATATTTGTAAAAAAAAAAAAACTACCCCGAGAGTTACTGTGGTGGCAGCTGTAAGAGGCTAGCTTAAACATGCTAGCGCCACATTACTGCAAGGTTAAGCTGACAACAATTTGAGACAGACGTCTCACTCGTTTACTACACTCAATGAATGATTTGTCGATGTGTTAGCCGGTGACTTCCATGTTTTAAATTCACCAAACGAGTCAGTGACATTAGTTAAAAATGCAAATGCAAAGTTTGGTGAAGGCAACAAGAACAGGGATTCGGAGGTTCCTAAAGCCTTTTGACCAAAACCTGAATCCAAACTGTCTGGTTTCCCACAGGTTGAACCTTCATCCACCATCGTGCAACTCTGGGTCAATCCAGGAAACAAAGCGAACACCAGGAGTTTCTTTTAAGAAAAATGAAAAACGTATTGAAATTTAAATAAAAGCTCCTTTGTGTTCCCAGTTGGTTTGATTTTTTTTTTTTTTTTTTCGGTCCACTTTGAAGAGACCAAATTCAGGTCTTCTTCCACTTAACGTTGTATGGACATGATTACTCTCAGCATGTCGCAAATAAAAGAGATTCTTCATCTGTTATGGCTGATGAATAACATCAGCTCTAATGTAAATAGCGGCGCCACCAGCTGGTCGACAGCACTGGACTTCCACGGTGCCGACGTAAAAAAAAGAAAAAAAAGAAAAGAAAAGAAGCAACCGTTGACGACCTTCAAAAAGTTGATTAAAAAAATAAATCCATCTCCTTACCCATAATGCTGTCTGTGCCGTTGGTGGAGGCGGTACAGGAGGCGGTGCTATAGTGACTGGCCCCGCCCCCACTGCCTCCGCCTCTGTGGAAGCTGGACATGGGTGGAAGGCTGGAGCTGATGTCGGCGGACGAGTGCGACGGGTAGCTCTGCGGAGGAGAGGGGTGGCGTGAGATGCAGCGTTGACGCAAAAAGAGACAAACAACATCAATACAGGAAGTGCTGATTCAGGGCAGGAGGCAAATGAGAAGCAGCCACAATAAACACAAAGACTTTGCTTTGAAGAAATCCCTCCTTTTTTTTTTTATAGTCTAATGACTATTGACAGGTTTACAACTGCGTTGAATGTGGACGCTGAGTCAGCAACGGCTAAATCACGACAAGATGAGGGGGGAAAAAAAAGTACCACAGAGGAGGCACTGACAGAGTCGGTACTGATGGAGCACTGATCACAGAGCTGATGTAACACAGAGGATTATCATCAAAAAACATGGCTGCCAATGGGGCTGAGGGAGAATCGATCAATTCAACAAAGGTTTCAGTGAATGACGTCTCTATCTTCTCAGCAGTAGTTACTTTATTTTACTTTACGACGACATTTTCTGACACTCATTTTCATCCAGGTAGAACAGCAGGGGCTGATTCACAGCTGCCTCCATTTCCACATCTAAAAAATGTAATTTTTTTTTTTCCCCCCAACTTCTGCCTTGAATTTCCTTGATTTCTCTGTGGACTCTGGAGGAGTTTAAATACATCTTACAAAACCTGTAAGAGCCAGAAATGAAAGAGAGGCTGAACAGTTACCGCACTTTAGAATTAGACCTGATAGAATCGTTGCTCTTTAACTTCATTTCTTTGTACAACAATTTTTTTACTTTTGGTTTTGGCGTGTGTATACATGTCCTTGGTTTATCTAACCCCGTAAGTGTTTCAAATTAGTCTGCCCTAATTTTCTCATGTGCCTAAATATGATGTGGTTTTTCAGTTTTTGTCTTGCAGCAATTGCACTTTCCTCAAGGGATTAATAAAGAACTTTTCTTCTTTTTCATTAAAAAAAAAAAATCCTTTTAAGCAGAAAACCCCCCCAAAACTGATTCATCTCCATCCAAGGTTTTCAGTGTGAACCATATCCATGTTTTATGGCCGACTCTCCGGACAGGAAGCCAGCAAATCACTGTCAGCGATGATTTGTTTCAGCATTTCATTAAAACATTTTTTTTTTTAAAAAATGGCTAATTTAATTTGAATAAATGTTCATTTGACCTTGGATTTTATTTGACTGTTGGACATTCACTCATTCATGTAACTGACAGCTGTGCTCACCAATCTGTCGTGAGGGTGAATCCCACAGTAGGAGGAGCTTTGGGCGGCGCCGTGCGCCGAGTTTCCTCCGCTCAGCATGCTGCTGTGGTAGCCCTGCTGGCTCATACTGGTACTACTGCTGCTCCACGGATCTCCACTGTGTCCATCTGATGGAAACAGACACACACGCGAGACATTCTGGATCAAGGTTTCAGATTCGAGAGACTCGGCAGGACGTGGAGTCACAGGTGGAGAAGGGGTATTCGTACCTGGCATGAAGAAAGAGCTCGGGAATCCCGCACTGGGAGGTTTAGAGGAGGGATAACCCGGCGAGTCCCTGTTGTAGTCGGCTGTACTGGCAGATGGAGCGTACACCTGGAAGACAAAAGACGGGGAAATGGAACGTCAGGATTCAGGAAGAAATCTACATCTGTAGCATCACTGAGAGACAACAGCTGACGTTTCTCTGAGGGGAAGACAGTGAAGGCATCACTGTCAGAGAGACTGAGGATTTCAACCATCCAATAAACCACTGCAAATGCACTGAACAGGAAGCTCAACGGCAGAGTATACATATGTTGAATAACAAGTATGACATCTATACTATAATAACATATTTTACTTTAATAAGTGCATATAACATAGTAATCAAAATTGTTACTTTACTTTGAAAGTATTTTAATAAAATCCTCTATATATTTCATTATTTCTTTATATATATATTTTATTTCTTTTTTTTTAGTTTAATATGATTTTTTTTAATTATACATTTCCTTTGGGTTTGGAGTTTGAGTTAAAAATGCCAAAAGTATATTTTTTAGTTATTTACATAAGCAAATTGTAAATAACTTAAAATAAATTTCATATTTTTTTAATCTATTAAAATTTTAATCATAATGGAATATGAATCAATTAATGTATTTTTTTTACTAGAGATTTTTTTCCATGCTTCACATTTAAAATCTATCGACATGTACATACATGTATATAAATATATATACATACATATATTTCTATCAAGTATGATTTTTTTTACATTATCAAACCGAAATGGAAATATAAAGTCGCACATAATTAAAAAATAACAGTCTCCTGAACTAACATGATGGCAACGATACTGCAATTCCTAGCAATTCTCCAGACTGATCCCTAAAGAAAGATAGCGATTGAACTAGGGGGCGCTGTGGCAACTGATGCATGTAGTGCGCAGTCAAACATTCGAAAACCCGTGTCGTCTGAACAGGTGAAGTTTTCTTCTTCAGGAGGAAAGACTCAGAAACACACTCAGTGTGTATTTGGTCATGCCTCAGGCCCCGGGTCCCTGCAGCATACACTACTCTGTGTGTGTATGTGAGAACATGTGTGTGTGTGTCTGTGAGTGTGTGTGTGCATAGCGTGCGAACGCTCAGCCATGACGCGAGCTTTCTCTGCATGACGCAAACTGTGGAACAGCTGTTGAAAGTCTCTGCTCGACTATATTCTCCCCCCACTGATTCACATGGAAACCAAGAATCTGCTGCTGCTGCTGCTGCTGCTGCTGCTGCTGCTGCTCCATCTCATCCACCTCCGTCCTCTCCACACACACCAGGACACAGTGGTGGATGCTTTAACTCCATTTGCATACGAATACATCACAGATGTGCTACAAAAACATGTCCGACACAAGAAATAAAAGAGAACAACTTGGGGGCTTTATAAAAAAAAAAAAATGAAATAAAATAAAAAACACATCATCTCACTTCCAATAGTCCCTGAGAGAAATGATTCAAAGCAGAAAAACAGCCTCAAACTCTCTGTGTCAAACAAAAACCTCAAAGTTTTTCCTTCTGATGCCTGAAAGCTCTCAGCTTTGATTTTCCAGCTGCGGCTGAATTTATCGGGACACGACACGGACACACAGGGAATCTGAGGAAACCAGAGGGAAGAGCAGGACGGAGCCCGGAGTTGTGTGACTGTGGTCATCATGTCAGCATCAGGGTGTACACACAGGTCTGATGAGGCTGTGGTTACACCAAGGTCCTTGTCTGTACCAGACATATTTACCCACCAGGGCTAGCATTAGTTTTATCAGTGGAAGGAACTTTGGGTCATATCTTTTTTTTTTAATCAACCTAGGTAAAAAACTAAAATTGTAATTTTTGGACCAAATTTTTTTAAAACCACGTTTGTTTTGTCCCGCTACTTTATTATTTGTCGCCTTCTTTATTTGCTTTTGAAGAACCCTTTTTTGTCATAGCGCTGACTAATTTCTATATAATTATTCTTAGCTACTATTGGCTAACATTTAGCTTTTTATTGTTTAAAGGTTTGGCTAACTTTTAGCTTTAATGTTAGCATTTTGAGGACATTGTTTCCGTTCTTTGACTTTGATCATCCTTCTTGAGTAACTCAAACAATATCTTGATTGACCTTTAACCTTGTTATCCGTAAGAAACCAAAATGGCAAAAAACAAACTGCAGTTCCTCACAAGACCTGGATCGGTCAAAGAGTGAAGATAACATTTACTTAGGCTAACCTTAGCTTTTCCAAGACAGCATTTAACCCATGTTATAAACCATTATTAAGACTTTTGTTTCTCTTACTTTTACTGTAGCATCTTCCAGCTTTTCATCTAGAGAATCGACTAACCGCGACATAATAAGTACTATTTGATGTTTAGGAGTTAGCTTTAGCTATTTGTAGGTGGAGTTTTGCTAACCGGCTCATTTTTAAGACAATTTTAGACTGAAAAGTTGAAGTTGTAAACCAATAGCACCTTTCAAAAAATGCACCTTGCACAACTTTTCTCTCTCTCTCTCACACACACACACACACACACACACAAATGAGGCAGATGTCATTATGTCTAAACTAAAATCCACTCAAACTTCCTCTTCTCCTCTGAGTTTTTTTTTCTCTGATCATAAAACCACATTTATTGACCCGAGGCCTGTACAAGAAACTACACAGACCGTTAGGCACGCACACAAACACACACACACACAAAATGAGAAAAAAAAACACATTTGCTTGTATTATTTCTGTTGAAAATATTTAGATTTATGTGACATGTCGTGCCGGCAGATTTCCACACTGACCGCTGTTTGAGTGGCGACAAAAGGCTGTGATTTGTGGGCGACCGTGTCTGTGTATGTGTACGCGTACGAGTGCACGTCTGTGTGTGTTTCTGTTTCAGACGGACAGAAACAGGTGCATGGTGTGTACGAGGCCCGAAGAATGCAGGGGGACACAATAACAACCTCGCTTCCTGTAGGCTGCAAAACACACACACACACACGCACACTGTCTTCCCACAGTTAGCACACAGACCTTGAACTAATCAGAGAGACGATGTAGTGAGAGAGCAAATGTCCGTCCAGTCAGTAACCTTCACGCAGAAACTTTTCCATAACACGTCTCGGTTCACTTTACGCTCCGACAGAACTCCACCGCAGTCGGTTCTGTGAACTGACCGTGGTCCCTGAAACAACACCATGTTGCTTATTTGCACGTCTACGGAGGCGCAGGACACGAGGAGCGAAGAGGAGGAAAAATGTCGTGCAGTGGTCACGATCAGGAAGTGAACCGCACGTGAAGAGGCAGGAGAGGGAGTCTCCTCAGGTTAGATTTCAGCAGCAGAGTTTTTCTGCAGACCTTCCTCCACCATCACTTCAATGTTTCCACCGCAGGACAAATCGAGAAAAAAAACAACTCAAATTTGAATTCATTTGACTTTGACTGAGCCGCGCGGTTAAGATAAATCACGTGACCAAATCACGTGGGTGTAGCCAATGCGATCGTTTTAACTGGAGTGAGTGAGCAAAACACTTACCTAAAAATTGCGGTTAAAAAAATATTAAACCAAAGACTGGGCTAAATCTGATCAATAACTTTGGGATTAGTTGCAGCAAAAATTATGACGTCACAGTTTATATGCTGGACGATATTCCCGACAAAACCCAACCAAGAAAGATTGGGAAAAACAAAGTCCATAAATGGTAAACCTTACTGTATAACAATTAATTGATTAATAACAGTCTCGATTAATCGTGATTAATCAACATAATGAATATGACACAAAATTGCTATGTATTACTGGAGCAGCAGCAGCAGCAGGGAGATGTTTTTATTTGTGACTAATCCAAATTTTACTGGAGCAGCAGCAGCAGCAGCAGGGAGATGTCTGTGATTCATCACCTGTTTTTATTTGTGACTAATCCAAATATTATAATTATTCATATGGAGAAATGTCAAGAAAAGTATACAAGAATAGAACTAAAAATCAGTCTACAGTCGCTAACAATCCATTCGACTGTTGACTTGGTCAGCTTGTTGAAGTTGAAGACCCCACAAACCAATGCCGGGAGTCAGGATGGTATTTAAACCTGAGGCGCTACAGTGAAACGAAAACTCTTTCTCGCCCTGTGTATAAATGACAACATGTGCATCAACTGTGTATTAGAGCAACAACAAGTGGTCGGACAGTGGGATTATTAGATGTATCATTCTGCACATTTGTTTTATTTTAATCTGATTAAGTTGAAAAATGAATTAACCTAATTAAAGTGTTCAAAATTAATCTGTACACTAATCCACCGTTCCAATAAAAACGAGCTCCATGCAAATCATGACCAAATGCAATGATCCTTCATTTGTAAGAACTACACAAAACACCATTACCAACTGAAACGGCTGTGTCTACCTCATAAACAAATTGTTTCGTTAAGTAACAGAAAAAAAAAAAAGAAAATCCACATTTCTTAACAGAAACACTGCCCATCACCATTTATCTCCTCTTATTAAAAGTCAAACTGGTCTGGTCTGATTCACCTCCCAACTCTCAATATACTAAACAACAGGATAGAAAAACCAATAACTGGAAAGAGTTTCTTTCTTTACAGAAACACTGTTTGCGTCTGTGGAAGAAGTTCTTCCCACGTTCTCTTTGAACACCTGAACGTCACTTAGGCTCCGTAGCGATGTGACGTCTTGGTTCAATAGCGAGTCACAGCCAACCGTTTTAAAGGGGATGCCACCACCTACTGTATTAGAGTGTGTAGTCTCATGGTATGACCACTGACTTTTGGAGATAACTCGGCCTACTCCTTACATTTGATGCACGATTCATTCTTTATCGCTACTCGATTTGTAACCGATTCCCGATGCATCTCGATACATTTGTGACAAATGAAACTTGTAAAACTATAAGCCGGATCAATGGGAGAATCAGAAAAAGAACCTTCAAAAGGAGCCTGGAGTTAGACACACCGTGGTATTATTACGGGAGGATTAAATGACAACATTGAGACAGGTGTGCTAAACTTCATGGCTACAAACGCATCTTCATTCAAACTTGGTGCCAACTGCAGCTTCAAAGCAAACTTGATATTTGGCT